ATAAATCGCATTTCGTTTTGTCTGAAAATTCCCGATAGTAGCATTTCGTTTCTCTGATATTTCGCATACATAGCTGAAATTTCTGAAGTTAGTATCTTCGTTCTCTAGGCATATTGGGATAATGATGGAAGTGGTCATATTCTCGGAAACTGGAATTATTCTTTTCTGAAAATCGCATTTCCATTCTATCTCGCAAATTTTTTTTTTGAAAACCGAATCTTGCGAAGCCTACCATGTTGCGTTAGGCATATTCGGAAGTTGCCATATTCTCAGAAACTGGATATCGTTCTTTTCTGAAAATCGCATCTTTACTCCATTTCGCAAAAAAAAAAAATTTCAAGATCGCAGTTTGTAAAAGCCGAAACTTTGCGGAACCCAGCCTAGATCTCGTTCATAATACTCTTCTGACATATCCTACTCATCATAGATCGACAGATATATACAAAAAAAAAAAGAAAAAAAAAAGGGAAGTAGTCCTCTTTTATTTTTTTTATTTTATCTGTTGATTAGGGTCGGAGGAAAGTATTGTTGGGTTGGTTTCCTACCTGCATTTTCCCTCCCACCCACCCTTTGCAGGCATTTCCGGGTTGGTACAGTGCCACGTCAGACACAGTGACACATCAGCTACAGTGACACGTCAGCAGGCCACGTCCACAGGGACACGTCAGCTACAGTGACACGTCGGCAGTGCCATGTCAGACACAGCGACACGTCAGCTACAGTGGCACGTCAGCAGGCCACGTCCACAGGGACACGTCAGCTACAGTGACACGTCAGCAGTGCCACGTCAGACACAGTGACACATCAGACACAGTGACACATCAGACACAGTGCCACGTCAGCAGTGCCACGTCAGACACAGTGCCACGTAAGCAGTGCCACGTCAGACACAGTGCCCCATAAGCAGTGCCACGTCAGCAGTGCCACGTCAGACATAGTGCCGCGTCAGACAGTGCCACGTCAGCAACATGACGGGCTCACTTCTGGGCATGCCAGGCCAACTGGCAAATGAATCCATTGCCGAATACTGACAGCAGTTCAAAAATCAGCTCGCACTAATCGCGGCTGAAGAACAACGCCAGCTGGCAGTCAAGGCTGCCCAGCTACAGGCTGACGAAGCGGCAGCAGCAGAGAAGCTCCGGCTACAAGCCGAAGCAGATGCAGAAGCCCAGGCTCGTCGCAAGGAAGCCCAGGATCTGCTGCAGCGGCATGAAACAGCGAGCGTGGACGGACTCAAATTCTGGCACTTTGAACCCAACGGCGACGATGCGACACCGGAAGAGCAGCATAAGGAGTTTCTCTCCAAACTCGTGACACGGCTGTTGTACACTTGCAACTACCAACAGTCCGAGTTGGAGAAGCAGTACCAGAACCTGACGCAACAGCATCAGGAGTTGGCGAAGCTCCGCCACACAATGCAGAGCCACGAGGACGCAACTCGGGCACTCAATGCCCAAATGCTAGACCTGGAGAAGGCTGTACCAGGACCAGCTGCTGGGGCTTCCAGCAGTGCATCCTCTAGCCGCCAACTGGAGGAACGCGTTGACCACATAGTGGCAATGCTCGGCGACATCAGCACCTTCGCTGCGCCGACCACCATCAGCAGTCAGCTGCATAACTTGAAGACCGAGGTCCAGCAGTTGCAGTCGACGAACACGGATGACAATCCGAAGATGTACAAGATGCCAACTTTCCAACTGGACAAGTTCGACGACTACATGCAGCAGGATCCGGTCCTCTGGTGGGAAGCATTCACAACGCAACTCAGGATTCTGCCCGTAGCCAAGCACGCGTACATCGGCGCCCTGTTCCTGAACTCAAAGGGCGGATGCCAGACCTGGTTGAGCCACCTGGCAACCTCTCACGGCGTCAACGTACCGGATTTGAAGGACAAAATCACATGGGAGGAATTGACACGGCTGTGGAAGAAGCGGTTCATCGTCGACGACGCGCCGACACTCGCCATCAACCGTCTGTTCACCATGTCACAGGGCAACACTGCAACACGGGATTGACTCACGGAGTGGCAGAAGATTGTGGCGGTGCCCAATCTGGAATTGGCATTCACGCATCTACACCGCGAGTTCTACAACAGGTCCTGTGCGGCATTGAGCCAGGCTCTTGGTGATCGCGAGCAGTACTCCACTTTCGCCGAGATTATCGACAAGGCGAGAGAGATCATCAAGACCAACAGGTCAGCTGCACAAGAGAAATCAACATGGCAGCCGACCTATGTGGAGAAGGTACGAACTGGTCCGCGACAGCAGCACTTCGCTGCAGTCCAGTCGGACAGTGGAGATAACCCAGCAGCCACTCCAGCATCAAGTGACGGAGATCAGGTGGCTGTTGTCCAGCCGCGAAGCAACAACAAGTCCCGCAACAATGGGAAGGCGAAATCCGCATCGCAGGCCGGAAATGGACAGCCAGTACAAGTTCCATGGGTCAAGTTCGGCTTGACCGAGGCAGAATACAAGGTCCACGGCCGCTACGGCAACTGCTATCGGTGCAACAGCACCAAGCACAAGACCTCCCTGTGCCAGGATCAGGGCAAGGAGGATGTGCGACCCCGCCTCAGCTCGGGAAACTGAGCTCAGTGGAAGGTGAGGCGACTCCACCTTCTACTCCGCCAGATTCGGCCGCCTTGCTAGCGGCCTCCTGCACATTTGGGGAGAACGCGAATGTCGCAAGTTCTCGTTACACTTACGAGGACTATGCTGTCCACTTGGTTCCACCGCTGGACCAACCGCTCCACGTGCAATAATCCATCGCATGCACGGTTTCATCACCATCGGCAACCGATTCGGCACCTTCGCCGCAATCTATCGCCGGGGATTCGACGTCATGGTCAAGACTTGAAGGGCTCGACCCATTGACGTTCACGGACTTCCAGTGGATGCCCGTTCCCTCGACCGGACGATTGCCGAAACCGCATTGCAATGTGCTCATAGCACAACTGCGGGATTACTTGCACACTGCAGTACCAGCTCCGTTGATGGACGCTGGAGTAGAGGTTGTTGACCTTCACGCTTACATTGCGAAGATCGACCGCGAGTTCAAGATGCAACGGTACGACGACATCGATGCACCATTGCTATATGTACGCATTCAGATCGGAGAGGTGACCTGCAACGCCTTGATCGATTGCGGGGCATCTCGCAACTACATCAGCCAGGACTTCATGGTACGCGCCGGCCTTGGCCCACGTGTCCGGAGGAAGTCCCAGCCCACGCAAGTCACGTTGGCGGACGGTCACACGCACAAGTCAATCGACCGGTGCATTGACAACGTCCCAATGTACTTTGCCCCTCAGGCAAGTGAGGCGGTGTCCTTTGACATTCTGGACACCAAATTTGACATGATCTTGGGCATGTCATGGCTGCAAAGCGAGGATCACCCGGTGAACTTCTTCCACTGCACCGTTCACATTCGTGATCGGAACAGAGTACTAGTTCCATGTACGCTGCCTCTTCCTCATCCTTCGATCAGCTGCCACGTGGTATCCGCCGCAAGCATGCGAGCTTCCATCATCAGAGACGACATCGAGGAGATGGGGGGGTGTTTTCTCCACGCCCTCCCGCCCCATGACGCTTCATCGACGGACTCACCTTCGGATCCACGCATCACCGAGCTTCTCGACGCCTACAGCGACGTGTTTGAAGGCCCGCACGGAGTAGTACCGGATCGACCCATCCGCCATGAGATCATCCTCGAGGACGGGGCCGTACCTCCGCGCGGTTGCATCTACCGAATGAGCGAGGAAGAGTTAAGTGTGCTTCATGCACAACTCGACGACCTTCTAGAGAAAGGCTGGATTCGGCCTAGCTCATCGCCATACAGTGTTCCTGTTCTCTTCGTCCGGAAGAAGAACAAGGACCTGCGGTTGTGCATCGACTATCGCAAGCTCAACTCGCAGACAATCAGGAACGCAGGCCCTCTCCCACGCATCGACGACCTTCTCGAGCGACTGGGCGGCGCCAAGTTTTTCTCCAAGCTGGACCTCAAGTCGGGATATCACCAACTCGAGATTCGCAAGGAGGACCGTTACAAGACCGGGTTTAAGACGCGATATGGGCATTTCGAATGGCTGGTTATGCCATTTGGCCTTACGAATGCCCTGGCCACTTTCCAAGCGGCTATGACAACGGAGTTCCGACACATGCTGGATCGTTTCGTACTTATCTACCTCGACGACATTCTAGTCTACAGCCGGAGTTTGGAGGAGCATGTGGAACACCTGCGCACCGTTTTGGAGCGGCTACGACAAGCCAAGTACAAAGCCAACCGCGACAAGTGTGAATTCGCGCGGCAGGAGCTGGAGTACTTGGGCCATTATGTGACGCCGCAAGGCATCCGTCCGCTCGCGGACAAGATCGAGGCCCTACGAGTATGGCCCGAGCCCACCAACACCACGGACGTTCGTTCATTCATGGCATTGGCGGGCTACTATTAGCGATTCATCACCGGATACTCAAGGATTGTTGCATCTATGACGAGGTTACAGTCGCCAAAGGTGCCATTTGTATTCGATGACGACACACGCTGGTCATTCCAAGCACTTAAGACGGCTATGCTCATGGCACCCGTCCTTAGCATCTACGACCTACTTGCGTTCGTCATGGCTCTCAAGCGATGGCGGCACTTCCTCCTTGGGCGTCGTAGGTTCACATGGGTTACGGACAACAATCCATTGACCTACTACAAGACGCAGGATACGGTGAGCAGCACGATCGGACGATGGATGTACTTCATCGACCAGTTTGACTTCACACCGAAACATCTACCCGGCCTCTCAAATCGCGCAGCAGATGCACTCTCGCGAAGACCTGATCTTTGCGCTATGACACATCATACCTTCGCATTCGACGAGGAGCTTCATCGACACTTCATCCGGGCATATGAGTCTGATCCGGACTTCTCCACGCCGTACGCCAGCCACTATCGCATCGCCGACGGATACTTGCTCCTCCACTCGAGAGGCAAGGACTTATTGTGTGTCCCACGCGACCGTCGTCTTCGGACTCGCCTCCTCGGCGAGTATCATGATTCACGACTCGCCGGCCATTTCGAAGTCAACCGCACTATTGCACGGCTTCGACAGCGATTCCGATGGCCCGACCTCATTACCGATGTCACTCGGTATTGCGACTCTTGCGAAGTTTGCCGATGCAGCAAACCCCGCAACCGCAATCCCTATGGCGAGTTACACCCGATGCCTATCCCACGGGAACCCGGTCTCTCCATTGCATTGGACGTCACCGGTCCGTTTCCTCGCGGCCGGCTCGGGCACGACGGCATCCTCACGGTTGTGGACCGATTGAGTAAGTACGCGCGTTTTCTCCCTTGCAAGTACTACTCCACGGCTCCCGAGCTGGCACGCCTCCTGCACACTGTTTGGATTTGTGGCCACGGTGTACCAGAAGACATTGTCAGCGACCGCGACACTCG